ATGAAAATTAAAAGAAAAATTCTTTTGAACATCTATCTATTATTGAATTATTATCTATCATCATATTGAATTTGGTCTCCCTCAAGAAAAATGTCTGCGGGCTCTTATGTATCCCAAGTATACGATAATAATTTTTTCGTGCTTTAGGGTTTTTGTTTCGTTTTTAAGAACAAAAAAAATCATTTATTTTCCGTGTGGGTTTTTGTTACTGTCACAGGGATGTATTGGTAAATATTGTTATGAGTTTATACCGTATACTCTGTCAGAAACAGATCTTGATATAATTATTTTTCCCCCTTTTTTTTATATAATTCCTAAATACCGATGATAACGAGTGTTTTAAAACAAAACATAATATTTCTCAAAAATTTGAGTGCCTACAATCATTAATTGTAAATACTATAATTAATACTGTTGGTGTATCAATGATACTACCTAATTATTAATTAAACGATAACCTTTGATATCAGAATAATCAGTGCCCAAATCGTTGCTCATTCACTTCTAAATATTTGCTCTGGGTCCGTGCTTGAGTCTCGCATTCGTTTCAATACGTCCCAGATTATTGGTAATAAATTTGTTACGTTCGTTTTACTCGCTCGTGTCATACCTATTATAGTTAACCAACAACAATAATATAGATATTTATTAAAAACTTATTGGATTCAATCGTAAAAGGATTAAATATTGTATACCTACTCGAAGTACTTGGTCAGAATTGTTGTGCTAATACATATACTGTTATTATTATCGTAATCTACATAGATTATTTTGTATTTTGTACGCATTTGTATTCATATTTCCATCACGACGTTCTCAATAATTTCTTTATCGTCTATAGACGATGATTAGACGATGAGTGTTATATACTTAACATAGTATGTTGAGTACTATCCTTAGAGAGACACATCATCATGCTTGAAAATGATGAATTATTGGGAAGGGGGAAGTTAGTGATTGTTTTCGGCTGTTAAAGTATCTATATAATACTAATCGTTTAATCTTAAATCCCATATAATCGCATATTAATACCATTATAGTTCACTAAAAAATTATTGAAATTCATATAACCCACTGATACGACGCAGAATATTTTTTTTAACGTATCACACGTTTTAATATCGTTTAAAGCTTTTCCAACTGTGTTTTACTATTAAAAATGTTTTAAACACACGCAGTATTTCCCGTGAAAACTTTGACGCGTTCATTTTATATAAAATCCAATGTGAAATAAAAAAATATAGTTTATTACTTTATTAGCCATAATAATGATTTAAAGTTAAAAGACGCAAGCCAATGCTATTTTTGAAATTGTTTCATTATTGCTAATAAACTATTAACTTAAATGATTACCTACTAGATGATTAATAGTATTATAATATATAGACAAAAATTCCGTATCACCATTTTGAAAATCAATAAAGTTAAAAACTATTCAAACGCCGCGTGCCATCACACAAATATTGTTTCACTGTTCTCTCCCTATACTTACAAAACAACACACTTAAAAATGGAATAACTCGTCAACGGGTGGATGGAAATTAAAAACTAAAATTGAATTTCTTTATGGAATTTTTAATATGGTTTCAGTAGCGCCAGAAGTGTCGGCAAGAGGGCAGTTTAAAATATAAGGGCAAACATATCATTTCACCCCCTCATATAAAAAGTAGATAAAACTTTATGAATAATAAAATCAAAATTTAAATTCAATTTATATTAGCATTATTTATTTAATTTCGCGAATAAAAAATATATTTATCATTCAAATTTTAAATAAATAAAGTTATTTCATTCGTTAATATAATTAATTATAGTATAAAAAAAAAAAAAAACAATAGTCCAAATCGATTATAGTTCTTTAACCACTGTAAAAAGCGCATACAATAATCTGTGGTTGTACAATGATATTTATTTTTAGATTTATAGCGGAGCGAGGAATGTATTGGTTGTACAATGATGTTTGTATATTTATTTTTCTGTGAACAATTTTTCTAACATAAATTTTGATCTAATTTCCAAGTGTAGTAAATATTCTAAAAGGAAATTTTCCAGGAGTGGTACTTTAAAGAAGTTATTTTTTGAATTTACCAAGGGTTTTCGTAATAGATGAGAATAACCTGAAAAAAACGTAGGAAAAACCGAAAATTTACGAAATTTATTATTTTAAAATCGTAAATAATATGGCCTTTCAAAACATATATAACCGAACTCCACTCAGAATCGTTTTTTTGTTAACAATGATTAATTGATACATAAAGAAATACATTATAAATTCCCTTCTATATCCTCTTTTGCCAACTTCTCACCTACAACATTGGCCAATCCATCATGCTAATTATATTCGTCTTTTTAAATTACAGACTAGCTAAGTACCCAGAACTGCATAATACTGATATGCCTTATATCTACTCAAATTTAATTTAATTTTGTTTATATAAATGATATAACACAGATGGGGGTTGATCTATTCCCCTATATGTGTCTCGTAAGGGGGGATGGCGGGTCTTAGGAAGAGATTCACAGTTACGCAGTTACATTCTTCATATATTCGCCCTACCATGATAAAAATAGTTTTAATAGTACTGTATAACAGTGTATAGTTTGCGCTTTTGAAATCAAAAATATATGTGTCAAAATATTGGGTCGACCACTCACAAATAAGGGTAATTAAGGATAATGTAGTATTTTTAGAGCGGCTTATCGTTTCTTAAATTTTCTAAAAAACAAATTTCGAAAGCGTTTTTCAAAAACAACTTTTCTACCAGCAATTTTGCTCAGACTTAAAACGATAGCACTTTCTGAACGGAAATCTGACTGAGAAGGTACTTTAGGGGAGTCATTTTTTTTATTTTCCCAGGAGTTTTCCAATAAATAGAGAAAAATCAGGAAAAAACATAGGAAAATCGGTACAATATTAAACAAATATTATTAAAGAAATTATATTAAGCCTATTTAATTATTTTACTATAAAATGACATATATATTGTTGACAAAGCATCACTATCAACTGAACTGCGCTCAGAATCGTTTTTTCGTTAGCAATGGTTTATCGTTGCTTACAGATATACATTAAATTACCTATACCAGTGACTACATCCGTCTTCTTTATCCTAGGACGTTTTTTTTTTTTTTGTTGTGTAAACACTTAAATCTTTAAAAAAATATATAAAACTCATTTCAAATTGTGATTTTTCAAAAGTTTTTTTTTGAACCCGGTTCATGCATAATTTCGTTTTCCAACGTAAAAAAAAAACATATTGCAAGTCAGCAATTATAATACTACGAATGATGACCACAAAAATACATTAAACGTCATATTATTATATATTGTTGAAACCCGAAGCGATTTATCGCAATATTTTTTTTAGGTATAATTTTTGAAATTAAAGCGATACAATGCATTGTAGGTAACCTATACATTTATCAAATAAAAATAATATTATTTATAATTATATAATATTTAATTTGAGAATAAAATATCAATTAAAGTGTCTAATATAATATATAGTATAATAGTATAATATTTATACAAACTATAAATTATTTGAAACGGATTTAATCAATTTATGCGTATGCGATTTTAATTTTAAATTGTAACAACTATACGCGTCTTTTTTTACAAATCTATGTTAGAAAAATATTTCCGCATTGAGAAAAAAACCACTATCACATTCGTGTAAAATGTAATATAATATATTTTCGGCGTATGTATTTTTACTCGTTCTTTCATTTTTTCGCGACGATAAAACGAGCGCATATTTGATAACGTGTAAGGTATAACAAAAAAAAAAAAAAAATATATATACATATATATATACATTAATGGACACGTGATCGTACTAGCGATTATAAAATATTGTGTCCTTCATAACATCGAATTAAAAAAAAAAATATTTATATTTAAAAGTTACCTATATTTACTAATGTTACAATATTATGTAGATCGGACCCATAGTAATAAAACATTTTTAGTTTGTCAATGCGTTGAGCGCCTACTTCATAAAAATATACATTCGAGCTGTTACAACGATAATATCCAAGCCGTTAAATACACACGATATTTATGTATTTATTATACAATACAACACGTATTATAATTATATTGTAATTAACATAATATTTATCGCGGTGTTATATTATAGTGTAAAGACGGTGTTATATTTGATATTGTAACATACAGGTATAGGCATAGAATAACGTATTTTAGCGGACCTCGTCGGAATTCGTCGTCGTTCACTCGCCAAACGTCCAACTATGCGTTTATAATAATATTTATTAATACGTTTAAGCGTTGGAAAAAGCGCATTGTCGTCATTGTCCAAAATATAATAATAATAATAATATCGTAACGAAACGTCGCCTAGTGCACCTTCTCTCGTTACAACACGATGTGTATCAGAAAAAACAAATATATATATATTATATAGTTATATATTTGTGAAACGCGTCGCTGCCCGCAGACATTACAACGGCCATTAAAACCGGGCGATTTACTCGTTATAATGGAAACAGTCGGTAGGTTGGCAGGTTTTATATTCCCTCAGCAGTGTTTCCCAATTTTTTTCTTTCATTCTCCGGTCCCTTGTAGGTTTTCGAAAAATCTGTTGTCCCCATTTTCGCCGGATAAAAAAAAAAAAAAAAACGATTCGTTACTTTATTCGTTAACAGCGAGGAATGTATCGGTTTTACTATGATGTGTTTTTTCATTTTGTTTTTTATCTGTGAACAACTCTATAACGGAATCGTTTGGGACCAAACATTTTTCCGCAATAAAGAGTTTTCCGTCACAGAGGTAGAAAAAAAAATTAAGTTTCAAGACTGTATGCATGTGTTAAAAAATTATATTTTAGGCAAATATGTACTTCGTACAACGTAAATTTTTACAGTAAGATTATAATGTATGATTTAATATTTAAATGCGTTTGTGTATAATACTAAAGAACTAAAATCAAGAACTAAAAAAAACATTTTACATAAATAGTAACAAATTTGTACCTTTTTTATAATTTAGAAAAATAGTTTTTAATATTAGATTGCTTTTTGTGATTAAGAGCAGCGCGTTCAGCACATTCTCGGGCTTTGATTGTAAGTTCTAATAGATTTGAATTTGAAATCGTGGCTGAAGAAAATTTTTGTAATTCTTCTAAATATGAGATTGCGGTTTTAAAATCTTTTATTTTTGGCTCATCGTTGGTCTCACTGTCATCATCATCATCATCATTATTTTTTTCTTCTAAAAAAGACGCCGAATCGTAAGTTTGATGCGTTTCTAATTTATTGTCAAATGTAATGAAATCTTCTATACCAACATCCGCTGTAACGCACGCCTCATTGGTTTCTTTCAAAGCATTTTCCGATAAATCTATATTGGTTATAATTTTTCTTTAAATAATTATATTTTCCGTTTAACAGAGAGTATTTTTACTAATTTGATTACGAAAATTGTCCGTTTCCGTTTAGTAGAGGTTCCGTCTTAGAGAGGTCAATTTATTTGCACTGAGACTATTAACATTTTCCGTTATAAGGAGGATTCCGTTTAATAAAAGGTTCGTTATAGAGAGGTTTTACTGTATTTTAAATTTCTATGCTTTATGTTTTTCATAAAAAATACTGCTCTAATAGAAAAACAACGGAGGATCTTTTTTGTAGCAATTGTAATCTAGTCATTTTTTGATAATTCCTGTAGTTTTTTTTAACAATTGAATAAAACCGAAAATGAATAGATATAGCATTATTCCAAATTCCTACCTACAACAGTGATATACTCTTCTTCGTGAAAATATTTTGTCAAAAACTTAATACGAACTTTTTTGTTAGCAATTTTTGATCTAGTCAGTGCATCGAGGAGATCACTTTTTTGATTTTCCTTGTCGTTTTTTTTTTTTAACAAATAGAAAAATAGGACATGTTTGAATAATTAATCATGATTTCTTGGTTATTTTGGCAGCTATACGGAAAAAATACGATTAATTCAATTGTCAGAATCGTTTATCGCAGAGTACAGATATAAATTAAATTATTCTAGAAATCCTCATCAACCTCCTTCCTAATACAGTGGCATACTTATCAACAGTATCAGAAAAATGGTTTAAACTTCCCAATATTTTTTTTAAAAAAAAAAAAATACATAAAATAATTGAACACCCTTTTTTGGTTAGTTCAATGTACCAATTTTTACACCCTATACCTCAAAAGGTGGTGCGAGGGAAAAACGTGTTTCCGTTTTCACCAAAAATTACCTTTCCATTTTTTTTGTTAAGTTTTAAAAAAAGTCATTCCCTTTTCCACCAGTTTTATAATGTATTTAAAGTTTGGGAATCCCTTACGTAAATATTAAATATTATTATTTTTCTATTAAGGCGGTTGAAACAGGGGGTCGTATTTTCGTCGACCGTTTAGACCATCATGGGGAACAAGACGGTGCATGTGGCCTTACCCCCCCCCCTGGAATTTGTTTTGCCCCCTATTAAATGTGAGTAAATTAATAATATTTGACATCATTATGGGCTGAATTATCGGCAAGTTTAGCTAGGACAACAAACGGATGTGAATCATCTCATTCTGTATTCAGAGATAATTTTTATAATCAAACACTACATAGTTATACCACGGATACTATACTTTTAGAAAATATTTAACCTGACGTGTATGTTACTTTAAAAAGTATTAATGAATGTAAAACATCGAGAAAAATATCAGTGATAAACAAAACGAAATGAAGAACGAATTTCAAAATACCAATTAAATGAAATCAGTAGATATGAATTCATAAAACTGATATCAAATAATATATTAAATAAAGTTTAAATAAAAAATTTACCAAAAATATATATTATATGCATATGTATTAATTAACTAAGTAACTAAGTAACTTTTAACTATTTTCCAGCTTTTTTACAATATGATTTTAAATGGCCAATGAATCAAGCAATGACATATTATTAACAAAACAATGCAAATTCAATAAACACCCAAGTAAATACAATAATTATATATGAGAAAAATATAATACCTTATATATTTTTTATTTTTTTTTTTAATATTTACATAAGAGGTTCTCAAAACAAAATTTGACCTAAATTATAACTGGCGGAAAAAGGAATGGCCTTTTTTGAAATTTGATGGAAAACGTTAAAAGTTCATAACTGACGAAAACCCAGGAAAAATATTGGTATTTTTCAACAGTTTAATGATAATGAGAATCTCAGTTATCTCTGTAATTTTTAGTATTATTCATAAACGACAAAAAATATGTTCATATGAGAATTATCTGGAAAAAAAATGTACCATTTAAACCAACCACAATATTCCCCATACAGTTTAAACCAGTTAAATGCTTGTTTGATGTGCAATAATTTTACATACCAGATAATGTAAATTTTAGAAAATACTAAAAAGCTCATTTTGAAAATGTTTGCTTATTTAGAACTTATTTGAAAATAGATGCCTCAAAACTTAGATTAACACGTGGATTTTAAATACCTATCGGAAACGAAAAAAATTACCAATTTGTGTATACGAATATGAAACTATGAAAATACTTTAAAATATTAAAATAATATAATTATTTTTCAGTAATATCGAAATAATCAATTAAATGTTTCATCAATACGAGTGTCTTATCACTCGTAAAATACACTCGCTGCACTTACTAGCATAACGACTACCATAGATAAAACCAAATAAAGTTCTAAGGTATAGCCAGTGTAGGTACCGAATAAAGTAATAATATTATAATGATAAAAACGACATACCTACCCAATCGCAGAAGGTAATAACGCGGTTAATAATTAAGGAGTCGGCGTACGGGAAAAACGCGGTTTTATGGTAATTTCGTTAATTTTGGAAACTGTTAACGTAAGTCTGCTCATACGATTTTTATAAATTATAAGTTTATTTGTATAAAACAAGAAGTTATTTTTAAATAACAGTTATATATTCATTTTTAAAAACCTTGTCGTAAATGGATGTGTCCACTATCACATAAAAAAGTCAGCTTGAGCTATTGTCAATATCTAGTCGCGCTGTCGCGGTCAAAAAATAAGCGATAAGAAACGTGATAAATATTTTGTGTGCTGCCAATAATAACCTACCGTATAATGTTGGAAATGATGGAAAATCGAATTTTAAATCGTTATAGAGAGCAGTTATTGTGTTTTTCGGCATTTTATTTATTTAAAACGGCCGCAATTGCACCTACCTACATATTTTTATTAGTCGAATCATTCTGCGTGTAATCGACATTTAGTAAACGAAATACGACAACGATTGTAATAGTAAGCGGTTAGTCGGAAGCACGATTTACCATCGATAAGAATATTGTGCGTTTATTACCAGTGGCGGCTCGTGGATAAAATAATTTGTGGAGCACATTTAAACAATTTGTATGCAATAAGAAAGTAAATTTAGAAAACAGAGAACTAAAACAAATATTTTATTGAAGAATGAATATATTTGTATTTGTTTATTTAGGAGGTAGAAATCTACATTATATTAGGGAATTATGTTTGTTTTTGTTGTATTAAATATAATATTATTTAGGAATTGAGTGTAACCCGGGTCGGTCAGTATTTTCTGTAGGGCAGGTATTTTTGGTACTATATATTTGGTCAAATATCAGCTCCCAATGCATGATACTCTCCGTCAACAGCGGCAGCGGCTATACGGCCGCGACGGTGCAATATTCGTTTGTGCACACAACAATAACACTAAGTTTAATGGTAGGTCAGTTGTATCAGTAGTAAGAACGAAACGGTTAAATACGCATGCGCGACTGGTGCAAAAATTGTATTCGCCCGTCCGTAATCCGTGATCGCTGCCGCTGCGGGCGCTGCGTATTGTGTACAATCGGCATACAAACGCGCGATAACATGTTTTTCTCGAATTTTCGCATTAAATATTTCTTTAATTCTATAAAATAATTTGTATTCTTGAAATAAATACGAATGCATTTCTAGTTATTAATATGTATTATTTTATAATAATTAATAGCATATTTTTATATTGTAGCAATATAATAACGTATAGTTTTCAAAATTGTAGGTGGTGCACTGCTCCTGTGCATCACAGCACGAGCCGCCATTGGTCTTTACACAAGAAAAAGTTCGGGAAAAGTCCCGTTTTTTTATTAAACGAACACTCCTTACCCATTTTCATTGATTCTTCAACGAGTGATTCTTCTTTTTCGTTCGAATCGTCGTCGTCCATACATTTATCGTCACCGTTCCCTGCAATCGAACAAAATCAACACTGAATTGTAATTTTTTTTTGGTTTTGGCGGTGCGTACAGCCGCTGAACATAAGTCGACGAAATATGACGACGAACGTGCGCGCGTATAACTTTGTATCGAATCGGTCGAATGTCGAAAGGAATAATAATAAAAATAAAAAAAAACCGGCGTCTTCGATATTATTTTATTCGCGTGCGGTGCGCTCAGAGTGCAACAGTATGAGGCGCTCGTATACCATTGTATCGTTGATACGTGCGACACGAAAATTCTACGACATTATGCGAAAATATCGTTTTGAACGGTACGGCTAATAATTAAATAATAATAGCGCGGAAAAAAAAAAAATTACAATATTATTGATAATGTAACGAATATGACTGCGAAAAAAATATAAAAACAATAAGAACCGGTTCGATGGTACAATATTATAATATATGCGATGTTATTATTTATACGCGTCTCCCCACCGCGCGCCGATTAATTAGCCCGCGATCAGTGGCAGCCGTCCGCTACTAACAGAGTAGGCACACCCGATATCATTACAGCGCTATCTTTACGCGCACTCAAGGACTGTTGTAGCAGTACTTCAACGCCCATTATTTTTTGCATATCGGTCGGCGGTTGAATATGTGTATATTTTTTTATTATTATTTATACACATATCACATATTATACACGGCCGAAGACGATTGTTATAAATATTCACGGTGTTGTTATAACTTGTAATAATATTATTCACTGGCCATTACAAGAAAATTGTGTACGTCTTAATTGCAAACGGCGGCGGCGATCGTGTAATCGTAAAATATGAACACGTGGGTACATACGATCGTCCGCAGTGTTGTATACTTAGGATTTTACCGGCAAGGAGGAAGATGCCGAATTAGGTAATAAATCGTAAAAAGACCAATTTTTAATTAATTGTTTTTTGTAAGTAATTTATAATTTGATCTGCCTTAAAATTACCATTGAAATCAAATACCCAAATGTCGATTTAGGTAAGTAATTATTCACTATATAGGTACTAACCTACTTCAGCGGTTTCGTTTTAAACGACAAAAATATACATATGTTCAAGTTTTTTTGGATTTATCACTGTAGGTACCAGACCAATATTTTGTTTTCGACTATGTTTACAACATTTTTTCCCAACCTGTAGGGGGCGACCCAATTTTGGGGTCTCAAAATATCTTTGATGGATCACTGTATGAAAATTCAACACAAGATAAATATCACAACTAAAACACATACATATATCAAAATTATTTTTTTGGGAAATTTATTAAAAATTCTAAAGTAATGTTTTTATTTCATACCAAAGCATGTTTAAAATGATATTAATTTGTCTTGATTTTTAAGCCAGTACATCAAGAACTTCTCGGGATCTTCTTCGGGACTTCTCTATCAGATCAACTGTTGCAACAATTTTTATCAAACTGCTCGGGCAATTTACTTTGGTCTAAATCATCCATACCATCAACTTTTATACTCTCTATATCAGCACTTGTAGGAGGCACAAACTTTTTTTTTTGAAAAACATTGCTTGCGGTTAATCATTGCTCGATGGTAGTATCATGAGATTAATATATTGTTTATATCAATTATAAATTATATGTTATATATTATAATGATTATTTATCTGAGATTACATCAAAGGCTCAAGTATAGTAATTAAGTAGATACAAATGAGTGACTTAAAAAAGGTAAGATAATGGGGACGGGCACAGTCACTGGTATAGATAGAAAATTGGGAAGGTAGAATACATACAGAAATTAAATCTATATCTGTAAGCAACGATAAACCGTTGCTAACAAAAAAACGATTCTGAGCAGAGTTCAGTTGATAGTGATATTTTTCAACAATATATATGCCATATTATACTAAAAAAATTAAATAGGCTCTATATACTTTCTTTAATAATATTTGTTTAATGTTGTGCCGATTTCTTCGGTTTTCCTACGTTTTTTTCCAGTTTTCCCATGTTTTTTCCCAGTTTTTCATATTTGTAGGAGAAGACTCCGGAGAAAATCGATAAATGACCTTCACTAAAGTACCTCTCCACTAAAATTTATTTTTAGACAAATTGCTATCATTAAAAGTTGGAGCTAAAATGCTGGTATAAAAGTTGTCCACAAAAAAAAAATAAACATCTTTGTAAAACCATAAGTTTCTTCGATCTTTAACCACAGACATACAAAATACAAATACGGTCTGTAACCGTGCGTGGTATGTAATTTGTATACCTACGAATATTGTGTAAAATGTTAACGAGTCAAAAAAAATGATTATTGATTATATTTATTTATTTGATTATTATCACTAAATATCAGTTAAACAGAAAACTCTATATCATCTAAAAAGAAAAGGCCATGGGCAGGATCCATCTCCCATATCCCTCTCCTGTAAGAACGCCTATGATACCGATATCTATCGGGGGAAAATTAAAAGTATAGAAATAAAACTTTTAAAAATCTTGGTTATATGATTTTCAATATAATGTGCCTACCAACGACACAGTTGCGTTTATCACCAGTGACTAAGGTATTCTCTATTTTGACGAGAAGCTTACGTCGGGCAAGCACTCCACTGTATATTTTTATATCTTCGTCCGTCGTTTCAACTGCGAACTCCTGAATCCCCGTTTTCCTACGTTTTTTCTCACTTAAATGCTTTTATTTAAAAAATGGCCTGTTTAAAATACCATATAGAAAACTTGAGCTTTTAGAAAAAGTACTATACGGAAAAATCGGAGCAAGTTTACTAGAAAAAATCGTGTCCACAGACTAGAAGAAGAAAAAAAAAATAAACATCTTAGTATAACCAATAGCTCCCTCGTTACGCTCAGGATCTACAATAACTATTGGTATTGGGAAAATCAAAAAATGACCTCCCTGAAGTACCAACCTAGTCAGATTTCTTTTCACAAAAAAATGCTAACATTGTGAATCGAAGCAATATTTCTGGTAGAAAAGTTGTTCGTAGATAAAAAAAATAAAATAAAAATGAATATCATTGTAAAACCAATACATTTTCGCTTCACTCAGAATCTAAAAAGGGTACTAATTTCATATTTTGCCCCAGGTTAAAAAAAATGTAAGATCCGGCCCTGATTCTTGCTATAATAAATTGTTATGATATTGGTGTGATAATAATTTAATAATAATATCCGTAAAAATAAAAACTCTCTGGTAACGACGTAGCTCAGTAACAAGTATAGAAAATAACTAAATGCTGTATTGTTATAGGACTGTGTAGTTTGTTGCAAACTCCGCTTCGCACACATAAATAATATGTTCAATTCACCATATTAAGTGGACGTGATAGCCGCATGTACCGTCTCCGTCTTACAAACGTACGACCGCATCAGCAAATTTCAGTTTAGCAGGAAAGACTTTGTGCTGTCAGTTTTAATATTATAGCGAATTGACTTATCAAAACTTAAAGAAAATTATTTGTGCAATATTGGTACTATTTTTTCGATAATTCAATTTTCAGACAAATAATATAAACATTATTAAATTGTAATATTTTTGCTTATACTTATATATATCTTAAAATTAAAATTATCGAAAAATACTGAATCGCGCAAACTATGCTTGGATAATGTTCTTATCTTTAAGTTCGATATAGGCGAATTCACTATAATATTAAAACTATCAGCATAATTATTTTATTTTGATCGAACGCAAATTTGCTATGTCATACATCTGTAAGACGGAAACAACACATGCGAGTATTACGTCCTTTTATTAACTATTATGTAGAATACAATTTATACGATTTTTTTTCTCGACAATTTACACGCGTTTTCCGTGCGAAGCGCCGATAATAATAATATACGAGTACGTATATTCAAGTAGGCCCGTGCCTAGCAAAATCAGCACCCGGTGCCGGAAAAGTTTATCGACGAGCAAAAAATGTTGGGTTCACTCATACGTTTACTATAAAAATATTCAATTACAGAGCATTAAAAATTTTCATTGGCGCCCCCGTGGTCGTAGCACCCGTCATGCAACATCTGCAATCAGTTGTTTGTTTGGTGGTTTTTTTTAAGGTTCTGAATAGTGTTAACACAGTGATAATAGTACAATATGTCTTATTTTTATTTTTATACATTTTTACCCCCGACGGTTTATCAATCTTAGTCTTATCAATTAATCACGCAGCTACGTCCGTTATTCTTATTAACATTATTCCGCCCGTTCAATACTGCACAGGCGGGTTTATGCATCACACGATAACCAACAGTATCGTCCATTACAGGCAATTCCCATAAGAATAATTTAATATGTTTGCTTGCTAGCTGTTCACCCATCGGAATTTTTTCATTGAAATGTTATTTTTTCTATAATTATTTACTATTTGCGTGTCGTTCCCGCCGGCTACAACATTATATTATGACGGTGACGCTATAATTGCTTTCGCTAACATATAATAATATTGTGCGTCTTATTTATAATATAATATTATATTATTATTACTACATGTTGTTTGGTCGTCGGTGTCATACATGTAATAATCATGTTTTATCGCGTGCGCTTAGTCGACATAATTAATATTTCATACGTTTTTACGAGTTTCACTCAACACTTCCACCGTGTATACTATACAGTACCGAGACTTTCGAATTCAAACTATGAAAATTTTTGAAAACAATTTCAATTCAAGAACGCAATAGAAATTAATTTAATTCTTGAGCACTAGAGAGTTCTTATTTCGTTTTAGAATAACATATTTCGGTTTAACACATTCAGTTCTAATGTGAATAATGTTTCCTTTTTGCAATTAATTTATGTATTTATAACAATGGAAACATAAATTAATAACATATGCATTGGCGAATAGTGGATTTTTTCAGGGGGGGGGGGTGGAGCTCAAAAATGTTCATATTAATTTTGAATAATCAACACTAATTATAACATTTAGGTAAGATTACAATCAAGCATCAACATTATCAACCATCGTAATAATTGGTCTAACCGTAATTTGAACGACGATTTATAATCATTATTAACTCATATTATTACAATTACAAATATAATATAACTGTTAAGGGGGGCCCAGGTCCTCTCGACCCCGCCTAGAATCCACCACTGAACATATGTGTACACCAAAAATTGTATCCATACTTAATTTGATTCATGTTTTATAGTTGACTAAATATTCGTTAAATTTTAGTTTCTGAGCGAACTGATGACCGTGTAATGATGTTTATTTATTTATATATTTTTCTATGGACAACTTTTCTACCATACATTTTGCTCAAATTTTCAAATGTAGCACTTTTTATGAAAAGAAATTTGACTTGGATGAGATTTTAAGAAGGCAATTTTTTGATTATCCCAGCTGTTGTCAAAATAATTATGAAAAGCCAAGAAAAAAACGTAATAAAGATGGGACAATTTACAAAAGTAATACTTTTTTTTATTTTCTTGTAATTAATTTCAAAACATTCGTGGTGACTTGACATTTCGACAGAAACCTTATACAAAAGCTTTTTATAGTTGTAGTCAAATTTTAAAAACATTTGAGCCATTTTTAAGCTATTTATAGACATTTTTCATTTTGCAAGTTTTTTACGCATTATTTATTTAGTAGGTATATTGTGGATAAAATTGTTGGACCAAACAGAAATGCGTAAAAATTTAACAGGAGGTTCATTTTTAAGTTGTAATTAGTGGTCAACAAGAAAAAGTTGAGTTTTATGTAATATGTATTTTTTTTTTTTTTGGAAGAATTTTAATATTAAATTTTGACAAAAATCGTAAATATTACAGTTTCTCAAACACGTGTAACTGAATTTCACTCAGAATCGTTATTTGTTAGCATTGGTTTATCGTTACAGCTATAAACTAAATTACTCTGTATATTTTTTCTATGTATTTTTAATAGTTGCGTACAGGTATACATTAAATTCTCACCTACAACTGTAGCCCACCCATCTTGCGAAGTATGTCCGTTTGTTTTTATTGTATATATTTTGAATATTAACGTTTAATTGTTCTTCTTTTTTAAATTATTCTCCTAAAAAAGTCCTTTTTTGAGTTGATGCAGTCTTAAACTGTATAGTCGATATGATTATTGGTCCCGAAGAAGAAGAGCTTTTTTTAAAATTATATATTTAGTTTTTGATACGAGTGAATTAATTTTTGAAAATACATACAGTACAGTGTTGTTAACGTTCGTTTTAAAAAAAAGAATCCGTTTCGTTTCTCGATCCTCCATGTTTTAATTATTTTTTTTTTAAATGATAAATATTATTCAAATATAAATTAAATATTGCAACGATCGAATTATATTATTTGTTTTTAAATAACTAGTTTTCAAGTATAAATTAAATATTATTACGTGTTTTCGAATCTTCTGTTGAAAGGCATGCTGTCTTACAGAATTCGTGGTAACAGGATTTAGCACAAAATTCAAATTATAAGAATATATTAACCTTCGCTTCAATTTCCGAAAAAAAAAAAAAAATAAAAATAATGGAATTTGTAAACCATTGTACGTTCCTCAATAAAATAATTAATTTTTCTTGATAACACTGCATTTGCATATTTGCCAAAATGAATACATTATATACAGTGATTTCGTAAATCCATACACTTAGGGGATATTTAGACCAAAAAATAAAAGAGATGAAATCGCATAAGATACAAATATAAAAAAAGAAAAAAAAAAACAATAATTGACTTAAGCATTACTTCTCTGAAACCAAGAATATACATCGGTAACAGCGCTCTAGACCTATTTGATCAAAGGTTCGCGTGTAATTTTTATTCATCTCGTCATTTCAGATGATTTCCGGCCTTTTGGACATGCGGGAAGAAAATGTTAAAATATCGAACTATGTTTTGTACATACTTCTTTTGTGCTTAGTACCTACCTAATAATGTGTTGTCAAATTTTCCTATGTCAAACCGATTTCTACAAATACTTATTTAAAACAAAGATCAATATTCAAGTAAAGCGAGAACAAATTTTTAAACGGTAAATAACCGTTTATCATTTCTTTGTCGACAAATTCGTTTGAGTTTGTCCAGGTCCATTACCGAATATGCAAATTAGGTACTGATAAGACATCTGTTAGATTTTATTATTATTATATTATCAGCTATCCCATGTACTTCTCAAAAGTCGTCTATCGTTAATTGTTTCTATAACTACTACAGAAATTTAATATGCGAAACCTGCGTAGCTATTATAATATTATTCAGTTATATATAAAAGTACCTATTATGATGTCAAGCGTGTTCAAGAAACGCCAACATGTGCCGTCGTCATCGTATAGTATGTAGATATCATAAAACATTTATTTTTATTTTTAATAATTAAACAATTTAAATTTAACGCCTCTCTCGTGCCGCGTACACCACTTGCATTTAATTTATTTAAATTAGAAATAAATGTTCGACCGTGAGTCCAAATTATAATATTCTGATTATATTTTTTTTTTTTTTACTTTGAACACGTGGTATAATGTTATTAATTTTATACATATACCTATGCAATAAAAATAAAATAATAAATGTATTAAAAAATGCAACTGAAAGAATATGACTGAACGCAAATAATATTATTATAAACAAAGATGACATATTAAACTTCCGATGCTTGCACTTTTTCGTTTCTATATCTACTATTTTAATTGAGATCGTACAGGTTTTTCAACTTGCAAAATATGCAATTATTATTTACTAATCATTATAATATTATATATTTTAAAACTACTATTAATTATATCGATACTCGTGTAAATTTATACTACTGGTAAATTATTATATATTGGAAAATATGATATTTTCTATGACTAGTCATTAAGATGAATACCGCTTTTCCAAGTGGTTTTCATAATAATTGCGAATAGTCGGAAAAATTTACAAAAATAATTTGTTATTATTTTCAAATTTGCTTTTTGTTGTAATTCAGTTAGAAATATTTGCAAAGACTTGAAATTTGAACAGAAAACTTGCCTTTTCTAGATATGATCATATTTTAAAAACATTTGCGCCATTTTTGAGCTATTTATAAACATTTTAATTTTGCGAGTTTTTCACGTAACTTTTATTTTGTTGGTACTTTGTGGATGAAATTGTTAGACTTAACAGAACCGCATGCATGTTTAACAAGATGTTTATTATAAGTCGTAGGTACTTTGTCGTCAATATAGTTTTCTATATTGGACTATTGCATTCATCTAATATTATGATGATATTTTAAAAATTCGGATTTTTAGTCGAGTATGTATGTATTACTAGTATTAATGTAATATATAATAATAAAATAACGTAGTAACGGCGTTGTGTTTTAAATAAATTGTATACTTATACATAAAAGGTTTTTTTTTATGTTAAACAATTTGACTATCGTCTTTCTAAAATTGTCGAACGTGAGCTCATTTAGAGATTGTAGGCTTGATTACAATTATATTTTCGTCCACAATCTTATTCAGCGATCAGAACTGTACCTATTTATAATTGATGGGCAAAAGTTATGATTCAATGATTAAACCGTCGTCATATTCGGTATGAGTGATTGTCCATATATATTTAAAAAAAAAAAAAAAAAAAATAATTTTTAAAGGAGTGGTAAAGCGCGTTCAAGTTATATCATAAATTAACATTTATTTGTTGTTAGTGATAAAGCTACAAAAATAATAATATATTAAATAAGTTAATTTTATGTTTGGAACACTTTTTTTTTTAAATTGTATAATGTGTATGTGAAAATATTATATTTTATTCACTGGATCTAAAAAATTTTTTTGCCGAGGTCTCATTATACTAATATTCCTTTGTCCTAAATATTATCTAGTAACCTAGTGCAAAATATAAGCAATTAACTTTTTAGTCTATATCACACCAATGTAGGTACACTAAATAAAATTAAACATAATAAATAATTATAAATCCGAATGATTTTTCTCGTGTGTTAATTTTTTCAAAGATATTTGTCGAAATATTAAAATATCAGTAGGTATTGTAGTTGTATGTATTATGAACGGATAATTCGTTTTTAAGATAATATTTTTAAAATTACGACGGCAAAAATATGAGAGAATGTGGCTCGAAAATAACTTTTTTTCGTTTCATATTTTTTTTATGTCGATAACACAATGAATTGCGCAAGATTTATTATATTTTTACGTTGATGAGTTCAATAAAAACGGTATAATAAAAGGACGGAATATATTAATGATTTGAGTATTTAATGTGAAGTTTTACATATTATATATTATATAGAATGAATAAACACGAATATAATTATTTTAAACATAGGTACACTTTTCAATTTATAATTTCAATGTTTTTTTTTTTTATTTACGCTTGCAATTTACATAAGCCCACACAATTCGTTATCCGCGTGTAATAAATCATGTATCGATAGGTATTTATTTACTATATTATTACGTTAATACCTGTCAGTGGCGACGCAATAAGGTATTTCGTGAGGCCGTATCACAGCAAATATTAAGGTAAGAAGGTAATCCTAATCAGAGGACACGTGGCTCATATAATAATTAGGGTCAACCAAAAAAATATAAAAATAAAAATTGTGTATTGCGTTGTGCGAGTACCTAAATATCATTAATAGGTATCAAAAATGGCAATATATCGACTTTTGTGATTCGAGTGGATTTCGAGTTTTCAAGCATTCTTTAAATGTTTAATATACAATGTTTTTATTAATATTTTCAAATAAAAAAAAAATAGTATAGGTACTCTTAAATTTCTGAAACATTAATTAAGGTACTCCGTCCTCCTGCACCTCTTTCATAAGTCGAGCACTGCCTGGAGATTTTTGATCAGCGGCATGTCTAGAAATTTTGAATGGGAAGGTATGTAGTAAATATATAACAATCATAGTATTCATATATAAATCTTAGCATTTTTTTCTGTAATGCCTAACTAAATAATAAGAATTTAAAAGTCGGATCCGAAAAAAATTATTTTTATTTAATAAGCAGAGATTTTGTTCAATTTTAAATTTACTAAAAAGTTGAAATTATGTAATTTCAAGATAAAATTACTAAATAGACGCTTGTACTTATTATGTTTTTAAGCCAACAGGGAGAATATAATCTCTAATCTTCTTCTGTGGACGTCATTGTTCTCGATACGTTTTTAATTTTATACAACTATAAACTGTGTACGAATATCTATAAGCATATAATCAATGTTGTAACACTAAAAATCAATAGATTATTTTATAAATTACTAAAACAACCGTGCAAAAATAATAAAATATTTTATTTTATATTGTTATAAATGTTTTAGTGTAATAATTAATAATTACTTACCATTTGGAAGTTATTTACATAACTATTCCTGTTAATTATATCCAAGTAGAATTTAACAATTCACTGATTTATGTGCTATGTGCAATTAAAAACGTATTTGTTATCGAAAAGATTTTTTTGAAAACAGGTTTAACGTAAGAAAGTAAGAAGCACGCTGCGAACCATTAACTATCTATTTAAACTACGTGTCCACAATATTCAATATACATTTCCAATGAAAATACCTATTCCTGTGGGATCAAAAATCAATTATACCTACTCGAAGAACTTATTATAGTCAACTATATAATACAATACATTAATTCAGTATTATTATATGAAATTAATAAATAATTATTACTACGTTTAAACGATAGGTAATTATTTACAGTTGATTATAATTCGATTACTATATATAATCAGATAAAACTATAAAGTTAATCATTTGCTCGCATATTACAAGTAAAATGATACCCGCTAAATATTTCAGTTGAAATAATAATAACGATTTTGAAACACTGGAAATTTTAAAAATGATGGCGATCTTTGAACATTATACAAAAAAAAGTGTTATTTGAAGGATTCAATATACCAATAACTCACTGCAGAGTACCGCTATTTCTCACAAATTTTCAAAAATTCTTATGCACATAAAGTAATAAATATATATACATAAAAAAAACCGCGCGTTGTTATTGAAAACGTATGGAATCAAAAACGGCAAAGACATAATATTAGAATAGTCCATGAAAATATAGATATATACTACGAGATCGAAGACGTACAAAAATTGACCGAATCGTCTACGGATAAGATGGTTGTCAAACTAGTTATGCGATTCGATCGGATGAGCACAAAATCCTCGAGTTTCTTCATCGATTACGTAGGTTTTAATATGTTAAAAAAATATATATGTATAAAAAATAGAATAAATACTAAGTAGTTTAAGGATCGGCAATGTGCCGAGGATGAAAAAAATGTTGATAGTTATTGACACGTGGTTTTAAACGGAAACAAGGCAGAATGGTGTAATGTGATTTTGTATTATTTCATTTCTCGTCTGTAGCAAATAGCATTGCGTTTTACACGCAACACTGTACCGAGATCCTTGGAACTGTCATGAATAAATTTACTATTCGTTAATGATTATTTCTGTATTTAAAACTAAATATCGATGAAGTAAAATGATGTATTATTTGCCTACAAATTAATTAAACGTTTTGGAATCAACTAAATAGGTACTTTTTTTAATGTATAAAAATCTTTAAACGTGGTCGACCCCAAATAGTTGGGATAAACGCGAAGGAGAAGGCTGAAGAAGAAAAAATACTGACATGCTTCGCACGTAGGTGGGTCACTGTTGTAGGTGGAAGTTGGGGAGGTAGTAAATGGGAAATTAAATGTATAATTATATGCAAAGTTTAACCATTGTTAACGAAAAAACGATTCTGAGCGGAGTTTGGTTAATAGTATTGCTTTGTCAACAATATACATGTCATATTATGGTAAAATAGTTAATTATTAGTTACATATGCATTATACATTTTCTTTATTAATATTTTTATTTTTATTATACTATTATTATATTTAGTTCTATTATTTAATATTGTATCTATTTTCCCGTTTTTCCTACGTTTTTTCATTTGTTGGGAAAACATCCAGAAAAGTCAAAAAATAACCACTCTAAAGTACCTACCCAGTGAGATTTCTTTTTAGAAAAAGTGCTATCATAGTAAATCGAAGGAAAATTGATGGTAGAAAAGATATGTACAGATAAAATAAAAAATAAACATCATTATAAAACCAATACATTCTTCACTCCACTCAGAATCTAAAACTTTATGAAAATATTATACTAATGTTACAAGGTATTTTTTTTAATTAAATCATCATAAATTACATAATAAAACAATATAATGAATAATTCACATGATTATTTATTTCTTTAATCTATATCCTATGTTGATATAGAGAGTACATTGATAAAAATATAAACAATATTACATCTCAATCATTTCATTCAATTCTACTAACATTTGATTATAACTGATATCAGTAATATTATTATGTACCTTGTATAAGTTATTAATATTGCAGATATGTATATACATTAGAATGTTTTAATTGATTGAAAATAACTAGTTTACACCAAACGGTTTTTTATGACTTAACGATTCAGTATTCTATGTATACAATTTTATTTTAGATATGTTGATGTTATTGAATTTGTAATGCATATTTTAGGATTTTGTACATTTTAAAGACATTTTCAACATAATTTTTAGAGCATATTTGAAGGTCATATTTTGGAATTTAATGTGCACGTCTGCATTTATATTTAGAGGTTTTTTGTGCACAGAAATATCTGCCCTAGTTATAATAAACTCAGTGCACACAAATTATATTTTTCTAATGTAGCACACTTACATTAAAAACCCACCCTTTCACCCCTTAATTGTTATAGTTCATATATTCATATACCGAGATTTATAGTCAAGTGCGTTTATAAAAAAATATTTCAGGGGGGATTTAAGGTTGTACACTTCCATACTTTTATAACAAAAATTTGTATACACTTTATATCGTAGGATTATTTATTTTTCATTAAAAATGTCAATATTTTATAACATTAATTTTAGATTCTGAATGGAGCAAAGAATGTATTGGTTTTACAATGACTTTTATTTCTTTTATTATTTTTTCTATTGACAAAAATGTATTAGCAATTTTGCTCCGATTTACAATTAGAGCACTTTTTCTGAAAAGAAATCTGACTGGGGTTGTACTTTAGAGAAGTATTTTTTTGATTTTCCCAAGAGTTTTCCCAATAAATAGTAAAACCAGGAAAAAAACATAGGAAAAACGAGAAAATAGGTACAATATATTATACAAATATTATTAAAGAAAATATTTTATGCTTTATTTTACCCTAATATGACATATATATTGTTGAAAAAGTAATACTATTAACCGAACTCCTCTCTGAATCGCTTTTTGTTAGCAATTGTCAAATCGTTGCTTACAGACATTAAAATTTACCTACAACAGTGGCTGCACTCGTTTCCATTATCCTAGTACAACTTTTTAGCCTTTTAGGTACCTATTACTAAATTTTATATTTAATATTGTTTGGTGAATACAGCCTAAATGATAACGTAATTCATATTATTGAATGACAATAAAAACAATATATAGTATATACCTACTATCTAGTAATAAAATTAAAATAAAACCAAAATCGTAGTTATCTTTTTCATTGACAGGAACTAATTTTGAGACTCTATTAAAAATCTACTTTCATCATAATTATCATGCAATTTCGGAGGGGGGTGGTTGAACCTCTAAAACCCTTCATATACATGCGCCTGTTTATAGTATATTAGTGGGTACCTATAATACAGGCACCTATAATACAAACGTTTCTCTTAAAATATCAAATTAGGAGTATTAAATTATGGTATCAACTTTCTACAGAATATAATAAACTTAGTCTTTATAATATAATCCTAGTACTTTTAAATCACTACCACTACCCGTGTAATATATATATAGCAATTACTGCTTATTAATCATAGTTTCGACCCCACGAGATGACCGGTGAAATGGATAAAGTTGTAATTTTCAATAATATATGTTACCATAGTAAGTATGGTATTATGATGAATAATATTTTTTTTATTGCAAAATTTTTAATTTTATAATTTATGTACGCCCATCACAAAATAGCCAAACCCATGTCAAAAAAAATCACGTTGGCAATAAATGATTTTCTCGAAATGTTTATCAGTAAACAATTTATTTAGTTCCACTATTGTATAGCCGTGGTTTAGCGATTATCATAAGTTAAGAGGTTAAAGAGGTTGATATCAAAGACCGTAATGTTTCGATAAGTAAATTACGATTAAAGTAATAAAATAATGAACCATTTATCGTTTTCAAGTTATAAATTCAATGGTTATTATCACGAGAAACATCACAAAAATGTGTACCGTGTCAAATGGAATTTTGATTAATGGCCCGTTTAAAAAGAAAATGCATTAAAACTGGTTAGAAATGGGAAATATCTTTTCTGAAATTCAAATAATGATCGTAGGTATATTTCTTTCTGCAATATATGAATAACGAGATATCAACGGTACAGAACCAGTTCATCATGAAAACGGATTTATGTATAGGTCTGAAAATAGTATTAGAAGTAAAAACACAGAAAAGACGAAAAGATTTCCTCACATTTTACTGTGGTAAAAAAAAAAAAAAGGTTTAATTGTATACTTATAGAAATACTATCGTTTTTTTCAATTCCCCACCCCTAGATTTATCAAAAACATTTTATAAGTTACATGTTTAATTTTTAAAAATCATCCCTGAGAAGAACAAATTTATGCAAGTCCCAATTATAATTTCGAACCTACATTTTTTTTTTGTTGTTGTAATGGATTTTATCCATAGAAAAGTTTTGTTATGGTATATGTACTATCGAACTTTATAATTTTGTTAAAAAAAAAAAATAACAAAGATATTTGACTTAAAACAATTTACGACATTTAGATGTAAATGTATTTAATCAGCGAGTACCTACCTGCTTTAAAACAAATATTTTAAACAATCATAATTATAATAAATAATTTGATTAATTTATATACCTACAATACGTATTTATAATTAATGTTTATTAGTCCACAGTATATCTGAAGCGTAGGTATCTATATATTATTGTTCATTTAAACATGCTCACTTTCAGATTCCGAGCGTAGCTAGGGAGTTATTGGTTTTATTAAGATGTTTATTTCTCTATTTCATTGTTCTAGTCTGTGGACACGTTTTTCATAGTAAACTTGCTCTCATTTTTACATTTTTAGCAACTTTTCTGAAAGCTCAAGTTGTCTAAATGGTACTTAAGAGAGGTCATTTTTTGATTTTCAACGCAATTTTTCAAATAAAAGCACTTGAGTGGGAAAAAAGCGTATGAAAACGTACAATTTCACGATTTTATTATTTTATAAAAACACGGACGACGTTTTCTACCAGAAAAAATGATTTGATCGAAAAATCATAAAAAACTTTTTTGTTGCCTTTTTGATTTACTTTCTTACGGTATAATGGACAAACCTTTGAGCCACTTTTGAGCTCTTAAGGAATTTTAACTTTTGGGAGTTTTTTGCTGTAATTCGGTTATAAATACTCGTAGAGACTTGAAACTTCGGGTCTATGAATCATTATGTAGAGTTTATTGTTTTACACTTGTCTCCATACATTAATCTGACTATCAAAAATTGAGCCATATATACTAGTTGTATTCTTGACGACAACTCCGTTTTAACGTAGGTAATTTTTCTGAGTTATAATCAATCACAGATATTTAAATTATGACATTCTCCTGAGAATCCTAACATATGTCCTTTAAACAATCGATATAATCAGCTAATTTTAAAATTGCATAGTAAATTATTTTAAGCATTTACAAAAAAAAAATAACTTCACAATTATTTAAGTTACTTCGATCGATTTGGGTTAATTTCCAAGCCGAAAAAAATTGGAGGCAAAGACCTATATTGACTGGAAGTTGTAGTGAAATTCGTGACCCGTTGAAGATATATTATGTATTTCGCTGTAAACATTATGGAAACGGGGCGACGCGATTATCGTAGTCATCGTTAACTATAGGTATACGATAATTTATAATAGCACCGGTTCTCCTAACGATATTCTCACCATATTATAATTACCTACTGTAATGGTTCGTAGGTACACTTGTTGGGTTTTTTTTTAAGTTTTCTAATCGATATTTCCGATATTATTTTTCTGTTGTCGTTGTCTGTTGTTATTTTAAAGTTTCCCATACGGCCATACTTACTTGCTTCACTAAAACTATCGCTGCACAGTGTACATACGTTTATTGAATAGCACTGGTTATAGACCCCTAGTATATAGTCAGGACACCACCTTCCATACCCGTGGCAATAAGTGGTATATACCTGTGTATTTTTAAAGAAGGATTACATATTTTCTAGTCATGTGCAGTGCAGAATATAACTTTCACTAATTTTATATATATTTATATAGGTACATTATTATATTTGATCCCAGGGACAAGTGCAACGAAGAAGCCAAAGAACTGTATTTTTTTTCCGATAGGGTCACTGAACGATTTGTCAACATGTTGGGAAAAGCGATATTCTATCGGGTGCACTATACGTATAGATAGGTAGGTACCGACCGATAGCAGACACCCCATATATATATTATCGAGAAGCCGGACACCGCGGGTTTCTGCGGTTGGAATATCGTATATCACATGCGTTCGGAAACACGAATTTTCTCCATACGTTTTTTTTTCATTTTGTGCAAATCGCGTTATACAAGCCACGCGGTCTACCAGATTTTAAAATTCTTAAATTGTGTGCTATCTCGTATTTTGTGGGAATTCTAATCAGTTTATATAATGTATGGTACAAAAATTCTACCAAAAATCTTACTCCAATTTTCAAGTGTAGCACCTTTTCTGAAAGGGAATTTTCCTGTAGTGGTACTTTAAAGTGGTCATTTTTTGATTTTCTCAGAGGTTTTCAAAATATAAACGAGAAAACCCGGAAAGAGTAGGAAAAACGGGAAAAGTGAAAAAATAAGATGTGCTCGCAGGATACTGGAAAATTATGGATCCATTGGTGTACCAATCTAAGTTATGTCTTAATTTTATCAAGACACAGCCTAGAGACTTATGCACTTATATGAGAACATGTATTACGGATCTAGTAATTTGAAATGAGGGGGGTGAAATTTTTTTCTGAAAGCCAAAAATATGGTAAGTGTTTGATGATACATTTTCGAAAATCGTATAATTATTATAATATAATTTAAAAAAAAAAAAAAAAACTGAATTATTTTTCTTTAAACCAATTCTCAACTTTCATACGACGACGTTGCTAAACATAACAGGTATATAACGCGTCTAGAAAGGAGACAACTTTTGCCTCCCCTTGAATTTACACCAAGGTACTCATCGAGGATAAAAAGAAATATCGACCGGACGCTTGTTCGTCCATTTTTTGTTTTACCGACATTTTCCCACTTACAATTTTGAGTAGTCTTATACATGATTAAGGTTAACGTTAATAATTGTTATCATTGACTCATTACAACGACGAAAACATATTATTATTATTATTACTATATAATATATGACTTATAGACTGACCAGAGGAATGTGAGATTTTGTAAAAAAAAAATGTTTAAATCCGATAGTTTAAAATTGCAACTTTTAAATCTTATTACCTACATACACGAATCTATGTATTCAGAGGGATGAAGGAGAAAACGATATCATTTGGATAATATGTTATCTTACATACGTGTTATTAAAATAAGTCCCAGGACGACTATTATAGAAATCAACTATGTTTTTGATATTTTATTATTATTATTATGATAGATACGACAAGGACAACGGGATACGCTCGGGTGTGGCGTCCTCCCGATAGATTAAAAATCTCGCGTGTATAATATTTCTATAAAAATCGTTGGCTTACTCGCAATCGAGATGATAATTAATTTCACCCTCGATGCCACTACCGGTTTCTTAACATCCATCAAACATGTTTTCTCAATTATTCAGAACACCGTAATAATGTAGGCAATATGTTTCTAGAAGTGCCTTGACTTGTATAATATTATTATAACTGTCTGGTTGTAATAATAATGTATATCTACCTACATATTCCTTAGTCATGGACGGCATAAAAAAAAATTGCCTATAATAGTCAAGTACGCGATAGATACTCACTTAATAACATTATTTTGTTGAAATTAACAACAATATTATTAGACACCTACTATTATAACTCGAATATTATTGTATTAACAAAACAGGTAAATAATTTTAGCTGGTGAAATGATTAGGAATTAACTATGGTGATAGGGCACAAAACTATAATGATAATAATAATATAATTTTTAATTACGCAACAATTGGAAATATTCTAAAATTAAGCTATTAGTCACGGTGGTACAATATTTTTGTAAGCGCAAAACATAATTTTCCTGTCACGTGTAATAACAAAAGTCGTTTAAACTACGAACTCTGAATAATATTTGTGTACCGGTATAGGTGTACCTATACCGGGTCATCGTCGTTGTATAATCGGTATACAACATACCTACAAAAAATGATTACAATTTCCATACAAAAACATACGTTTACGATATTCGATTAAACTTGTATTGATATCGTATAATACGCGTTTATATTATTATTACATTGATCTTATGTTTATAATTTTATAATATTCTAATCACCAGTAGCGTAATTGTAGGAGGCAAGGGGAGTATGTTCCCCCGTGACGATTTTTTGGGGTGACAAAGCTATCATTTCCTCCCTCCCCCCCCCAGATAATCCAACAGTATAAATCTTTGAATCTTCTTAAATTAAGAAATAATTTAATATATTCACCGATTATAAAATATGTGTAAATAATATTTATACTAGTTACTTTTTTAAACTATTTACAGCAGCTTTTATGTAATGAACTCTTATGTAGGTATTTAATATTATTTAACAATGTGGGTACCTGCTACCTGCAATTTGTTTCTAAAAAATAAAATAAACTTAAACACACGGGTACATGTGTAATTATGAATTCATAATGAATAGCTGTTAAGAACACTAAAGTGATCAATAGGTACTTCTGTATTTTGAATGGAATAAAAAAATATTTTGGACGACACCGTTGTTGTTTTACATCATGTTTTTTTTATAATGCAGTATAAATCGATAACGAAATAATTCTTGTTTATATATTATAATATGGGCGCCTACATCATCTGCAAGATTAACCATCATCATCCCCGGAAAACTCTATCATTTCAGAGAGATAACCTTCTGAACGGTAATAAATAACTATATTATGTGTCGAATGTTGATAATAGTATTACCTATAGAAAAGAAACTCGTCGGCGGCCGAAAAACCATAAAAGTCAGAAGAAAAAAAATGATGATTATTGATTAGATATAATATCATAACATAAAACCTAGATATTTTTATAGCATTCGGATAATAAAATATTTATAAACTATATATATTTTTTTGAATTCTGATCCATCGTCATTCATCGATATTCGATAGCGACTGTAGTTCGGAATACGTATTATGATTAGGTATATTAAATATTACACGCATCTTTTTATTATACTAGATAACACAAACCGATAATACTATCAACATTCTTAACGATCCGTATAGTATTAATAACTTTTTACCGCCAGGTATTACTTCTTCTTGGGGGCAATAATAAACATAACTTAAAATAGCCGAAAAAAATCGAAATTCAAGCACACCAACTTATAACCATAACAATTGAAATTGTTATGTACGCACGTTCGCATCATTCGTGCAGCTAGCAATAATATTATTCATCATCACGTTCACTTTTAAATTTAAACTTTTATTCAAATTTGAATTAGAGTTTGATAAATGATTTAATTTTAGAATAAATACAACCCATATAGAAGGTTTTAAAATTACAAATTATAAATTTAATTTCAAAATTTAGCTCTAAGCGTTCAAGAATATATTAGTTTACAAACTTCAAACACGAAACACATAAAACACTTCTTTCAAACTATGTGCAAGTGATAAAACATTTTGAATACACAAGGGTCTAGGACTGTCAATTCATTAGCATTAAATTCGTACAGACTAAAAATTCAAATTTTAATAGTTCGTGTTTGTTTTTTTTTTTTTGGAGGTTATAATTCACATCACCTAGTAAGAAGTGAGTGTATCTCGATTTTTACACAAGCTCGGTGATTTACAAAGATAATACTGTTTAACTATCAGTTTTAAATAAAACTTCGAAACAAATGCACCCGAATAAATTGTCTCAATAACTATAGTTGAGTAGTCGTTGTATAATACACCGCCATGATGAGGTAAACGAAAATAACAAAATTATTGTATCCGGCGCGTTTTAGTAGATAAAAGTTCGAACATTAATTTTTTCCGAGTAAATATACAAGTGCATTAAAATTAATTTTAAATATTTTTGTTTACTCATGGGTGATATTAAAAAGAAATGATTACGTTTATTTGATTACAAAACAATGAGCAATAATTAATACAAATTTCGTGTATTGTTTTTATCTTTCATTAAAATATAATCTATTTTGATATTGACCTTTAATATTAAAACTCATAGGTTTTTGTACTATGTTATAGTATATTACGTTAAACTATTTACTACGCTTGTGTCATCAAAGATAGTTCACGTGTCGTGAAAATTATTATTTTTTGTTTTTAAATAAAAATAAAATGATTATATTTTTCTAATGTAATGCATTACCTATATAATTCCAAATATTTAATAAATTACATAGTTGTTTTGTATAATGTTTCTGTTTTGATTATTAAATAGCAATAGTAGATATATTATATTATACACTACACAGCCTTTGAATTTATGAGTTTATTATTTATTATGATCACTTTATCAAATTTTCGTTGTGATCTGATGTCTATTAACGGGTTTTTACTAACTAGTAACTAGTAACCTAATTGCCTAATATACTTGATATACCGAATTATTAATAGTTGCTATATTGGACAATAATTTTATCTTTTTTTATGGTTCTGTGGTCAAAATCGTAAAAACGAAATTCTTATAATTTCGTCATGTCCGTCTATCAAAGACTCATGAATCATACTGTGCCTTTTTCCAATCGATTTTGATGAAATTGTGCAAAAGTTAAAAAGGTGTCTTGTACAAACAGCCATATAATATTGTGTAGTTAAACAAATTAAATTAAAAACAATGTAGAGATAGTTTTCTATGTATTTTTCGTCGTGTAGGGTATAGTTCGAAAAGTTCGTATGTGACATTTTTTTTTTATATCAGGTGATCTATTTAAGTGAGTACCTACACTCATTATTTCGGAAAGTATTACATTTTTCCGGAATTTGTTTTCTAGAACATTCAAGAAATAAGTTGCTCTATAACTTTATATTTATGTTATTCTTTGTTACCTTTATTTTTGGGGTTAAAACCACTATCACTCATGAATAGATAGAGTATTAGTTAAAATAAATTTGAGTGTTGAAATTTTTGATTTCCGTCGATCCGTTGACGAGATATTTCACTTTAAAGTTTGGGTTGGAAGAGAGTAGTGGAATATCCTTGTGTGGCGGTGCGGCGCGCGGCGTGTTAATGTATCACTACTCTCTTTCAACCCAAACTTTAAAGAGGAATATCTCGTTAACAGCTTAACACAAATCAAAAATTTTAACACTGAAATTTATTTTAACTAAACTCTATCTATTTATGACATTTTTCATATAGGTTGATATTTGAAAATAAAAAGTAGGTAGTGGTTTTACCTCAAAAAATAAGGAAGACAAAAAATAACATAGATATAAAATTATAGAGCTGCTTATTTCCTAAATGTTCTAGAAAAGAAACTCCGGAAAAATTTAATACTTTTCAAGATAATGAGTATACCCACTTAAATGGATCACCTGGTACATATACATATTATTATGTGACACAAGCTATAAAAAAATCCAAGAAACACGTATTAAACGCTTCCAACGAAAATTATTTTGAACAAAATTGTGTTAATCAGTTATGTAAATATTAAACAAAATACGTTAAAACATTGTATAAGAAATATATTTAGGTACTATTAGGAACCCTAAATTGATATGTGTTTGCAGAACCGTGTCAAGGTGTGAACGGTGTACGCACACTGGGTGCCATAATTGTAAGAGTCCCCAAAATTGAATTAAAAGTTTTGTTAAAGTTACACAATGTAATTTATACATATATAGGAAAGAGATGGGTTTTTTTTTTTTTTTATAGGGTGGTCAAAATCAATTAATGCACCAGGTACTAAAAATAGTACCCTATGCACTAAACACTCTAGACACGCAACTAGTCAGTTTATTTTTGTCGCTTACAGATTTTCAAAATATTTATTAAATATAATCGTTAAAAAAAATCAATCAAATTGCACGATTATTGGTCATTTTTAAGACGAGAAAAATGTCGGTATAGAAAATCTAGGAAATATAACATTGTATGTTTAATCGACACAAAAAATAACACGCATCATGTAGTAAAACTAAAACATACCGCAATGCGCTCAGAATATAAAATGTTCATATATATATTTTTTGTGTACGCAAATATTTAGTTGTCTAAGTGAAATTAAGAATTCGTTAAGACTGTCAAGAGTGCGTTTAGTTATTGTCGCAACACAGCCAACGATAATAATGGCCGATTCTATGCAGCATATGCGCGATTGTAAAACTGATAAAAATGTGGAATTAAACGGTTTTATAGGTAGATATGGGTACCTATACTTACGATGCCACCGTTTAAATGTACTATTAACTTTTACTTCGTTATTTTTTATTTAAGTATACAGATAAAAACAAATTAAGCTGTGTTGTTGTTTATATATAGTTTTAGGTAGGCAGATACGTGCCTATGCCATCCTCTCTCTCTCTATTTCGCGTTCTCGGATTTCTCGGGAGTTTTTTTACGAAGTAGTATCGTGTTTCGTGGGAATCCGTTGATGGCCAGCCGATTATACACACCTCACTAGGTTTTTCTACGGTTAAAAAAGCATAATATATACATATATATGTCTAATACGAGTAAGTATACATAGATAGTATAGCTAAAAAAAAAATAAAAAAATAATGATAATAGTAGAGGTACTATGAATGTATTATTATTATATACTTGTACGAGAAGCCGAAAAATTACGTGGACGCCAACTATATAGCTTCCAAATACCAACCATTATTTTAGTCTTTTGAGAATCGTATATTTTTTTTTTTTATTTTGTATACCTGTTAGGTCGTTGAGGAAATGTATCGGTCTGATATTTCGAAAAACATATTCTACACGCAGTACCTATAATTATAGGTATACGAAAATATCAGCGGGCACACTCCTTCGCCTTTGACCCATTAAACGGAAACCGTTGATGGACTATCGGGATCAAAATATTATAACCTCAATATAATATAATATCATATTATATTGCTAAATATCTAATCCGGTAATCGATAAAAATAGATAAATAGTACACGAATAATGAAGATTATACTATATCTACCTGCATACTTCTTACTATTCTAATTATAGTCATAAACAAAATATATATTTTTTTACGAACATTTTGGACATTAATTTTTTGTTCAAAACGGAAAAATTCCCTTTTCGTATTATTAAATATATCTTAAACCATATGGCCATTCACGGCAATAAAACTAAACAATTTTAAAAGAGGATATATAATTTAATATAATTTTATATCTGTATGCGACACCATTACAAACAAAAAATGATTCTGAGCAGAGTATTATCAACTGTCCTTTTTCCCCTTGTTACCAAAGGGAGCCCGGAAAACTACAAAAATTAAACGACAAATTGTCATTTTTTCCAATTTATTAAGAAAATTACACAGGCAATCAAAAATTGACCTTCTCGATGCATCAACCTGATCAAAATGAACACAATACAGTTCCTATAAAGTTTTAGATTAATGTAATTCTCGTTTAAAATTTGTAGGTATACAGAAAAAAAGAAGCATATCAGTAAAACCAATAAATCCTTAGCTACGCTCAGAATCTAATATCACATTTAAAATAGACGAAATTTCATCAAAAATTGGCCGTGAGTGGTGCCTACATTGCCATACATATTTTAATATTTGTCCACAAATACAACCAAATCGATTATTAACTACAATATTTTTAGGCATTCCAAATGTGACACCTACTCGTCATTATTTAGTATCATTTCGCTTAGGTAAATTTATATACATTATCGTAATTGTTCGTGTCTGTCGTTTACATTTTTGTAATAATATAATATTTAAACACAATAGGTTAGGTATCTACATTAAACTATAATTGTAAAATACTACTTTGTAGGATTAACGCTTTTATACGTATTTAACACTTAATTACTATAGTTCTATAATAATTACGATATTTTCGTACTAATATATTGGCCAAAACAGAATTTTAACGGACATTTTACAAAGAATCCTACAATAATATCTAATATTGATGCGCGGTCTTACTGCAGCAGTAGTGTCCAATTATTGAATGCCGATATATTCGGACGAATATTATGTTATAATATATAATGAGTCTAGGAACAAAGAAAACACATATTGGCGGGAACTACGTAGTAATAAAAAAATGTGTTTAAAAATTGTATACTTCCATACTATTGCGTAGGTATGTGTATATATAATATATATATTTTTAATATGCCCACCGAGATATTTTTTAGCATGCGAAACTTCGTATATTAGGTTTTAAATTATTATACGTCGTTGTTTTATGCGCTTATCCTCTTTTCGTCAAACTGGTTTGTAAGAATATATAAAATCGTTCCTGGCCCAACAAATATTTATTATTTCGTTATTGCGCCATGTTGCACAACTATTTAACTATTTACATTTTACAGTATTGTAATGTGGACGGATACCTATTACTATTATAATATTTAAAGTATCATTTATTAAAGTTTAATACTATAATATTGTAATGTTATTTTTTCCTTGTCCGTCTATATACGAATATAAATTAAACCAAAAAATAAATACATATATATTATAATATAAAAATAACGAATCGTGTTTAATTTTAGAGACGACAAATACCTACAAAAAATTATATTTGTTTTCAAATGGTATACGGTGGTGTAATCATAATATTATAGAAACCTGTCCGTATTATAATCGTAAATTTTACCTATTGCATCTATTTGTATTAATGTGTTGGTTTCGTTCTATATAATTATATTAAAGGCAAATTTAATATATTATGAAAATAATTTAAATAGCTATGAGCTGGTTTCCAAAAGAATATTTTTGATTAGTTACGACGGATTAGGTAGGTGATGGGTATATACTTCAGTATTACACACTAATTGATGGAGGTTCGAACAAAAAATAAAAAAAACTATGCATTATAGATAACGATAGAAGGATCGGATGTGAGACAGTATGGTCGTCGGTGAAAGAGAAGAGAATCAGAATATTATAATAAGAAGCTTCGGCAGAACATTATAATAATAATAACGAAATTGTTACGAAAATATCGGTGGTTAAACGAAAAAGTATTTATAGACCAGAAATTACTCTGATTATTAGAGCTGGCCACGGACCATCGTTTATTAATTTTTAAATAGAGGCTGCAGGGTGTTATGATATTATTATAAGAGCACTCGTTTCGGTATGAAAACCAGTATGTAATGTAACTTCTCCTTCAAAAATTCAACATACCGATGGATCTGTCGGAAGGTTGTTGGATTCCGAAATATTTATTATAGATTGCGTTGAATAGGGGAACATGATTACTACATTTATTATGGTTACATAATTTTCTTTATATTATTAAATTAATATAATATATACCTCCGGCATACATTTAAATTGTCGTAAATAAGAACACATAAGAATTGACAAAAAATATAAATCAGAAAAATTGGTAAAATTGAATGGTGGGTGTGATGAAAATTTAGTTTGCAATGTTGAATCGTTTTAGTACAATATTCGACAATAAAATACCTATCATCAAACCAAAATCAGTATTAGAATGTATATAATATATATTATCATTTGTTATTTTTGAACATCGCTCAATTTTGAAAGAATATACCCTAATATTATTTCAAATCAAGAATAATAATATTATATTTTATTATAATGTGCGAAATTTTGCATATTTGCGAGCACAACGATGTCGGTTTATCCATAAAACTGCTGTAAACAAGGTTTTGTGTGTGCCCGAGTAACAATTAAAATGCGTTTGCTCTTGTGAATTGTTCACGTCTTTGTTCAGCGTATATGAAATAATTTCATGCCATTACCATGCAATTTGAGCATTTAATTCCATCAATTAATTCCTATCAAAAAAATTGATTAAATAATTTCCCACCCACCCCTCCCCAAAAAAAAAAAAAAAAGTTTTTCTTAAAATAATCGTAGATAGGTATATTAAACTAATTTTAAATCTATTATCTCCCTTAAAATATAACTAAAAGTAACGACCGACCTAAAATTTTTTTTTTTTACAAACATTTCGTTTGTTGTCAATATTTTGAAAGGAGTATTTGCACTGCACGGTTAATACAAAAATAACGAAATGCGTGAACAATTAATAGATAATATTTATAATAAGGAAAACCGCTGGGATCACATGGGAATACGCAGTTAGAATATATTAGCTATTAATGAATGTATAATAATGCGTTATTTTATTTTTCGATATTACACGATATAGATAAAAAGAATAAGCAATACCTACCAATACCTAATATGAATCACGTATTATACAAATCACATCAAACACAATATAATATTATAATGAATTCAATTTACGAATAATATAGGTATTATTTTAATGCATAATACATTTCGATAAAATCGAGATTGGCAGGTGTAATTTATTTTTATGTTGTACCTTTGATGTAATTATAATTCATGATAAATAAATGAAAAACACCTAATACAATTGTAAAATTACCTATATTATGTATTAGAACAAAAATAAAGAACTATAAATGCGCAGTGTCTATTTAAAATACACATGTACATTATGTACAATGATATACATTTTGTCATGTACATTTTTTCTTTAGATTTTTCGATCGAATCCAAAGAATACATTGGTTTTAATGTGATGTTTTTTTTTTTTGCGTCTCTAAACAACTTTTATACCAGAAATCATTGTCTAATTAAAAACTTTATAGGAATTTTCTTCTTGAATGTTTGATTTATATGGCTAACACATAGAGAGAGTCGTTTTTCGATTTTCTTTATAGTTTTCTTAATAAGTGAGAAACATTTTTTTTTTCAAAAATAACGTTTTCTAAATTTTTTGATTTCTGGGTTACCTCGACAACTAGGGGACTAATACAACTAATACTACTGTGTTCAAAACGTTTTTTTTATTAGCAACGGTTAACGTTGAAATAAATTGCTCTATAAATTCTTCTTTTCGACTTTCTTCCTAAAACAATGATAAACCTATCAGCAGTATCAGCATTTTATTTATTATTTATTGTGGTTACTTATTTTTAGAATGTATGTTATACATTTTGTTTTTTAAGATGGAAATATAAATAGCAAAAATCGTTGGTAGGTACTAAGTAAATTCATATATAAATAATATCAAATGGCGAACAAAGTATAAAGATATCATAGAAAAAAAAAAAAACAGTCATACTTCGCACGAAGGGGTGGGCCACTGTTATAGGTGAGAATTATCATCCCTGGAAAATTCCCTTCCAGAAAAGAAAGTGTTACATTTGAATATTGAAGCAAACTTTCTGGTAAAAAAGTTGTACACAGGAAAAAAGTCTAAAATATTTATGATTTTTAAATGATCATTTCGTACATTTTTCCGTTTTTTCTACATTTTTTCCCACTTATTAGGAAAACTCCTAAGTAAATCGAAATATAATCTCACTAAAGTACCACCCCAGGAAAATTTTCTTTCAGAAAATAGTTAATACTCCAGAGCAAGATTTCTGGTAAAATTTTTGTACACATATAAAGTAATAATAAATAAACAAATATATTCCTCGCTTCATTCAGACTCTAAAACGTGGTACATTTATGACCAGACTATATGAATATAATAGTAATATTATGGTATCAAAATATACCTAAAGTAAAGTACTTATATTTTGTGATCATTTGTGGTTCTTAATTTTATTATTATTATTTTATTTTAATTTTTTGATTATCGTATAATAATATTATTTTCCCATTTGATATTTTTTTATTGTTATTGATAAAAAAATATAACATACAATATTGTATGCAACAAGTTATATGTACCTATAGATCATATATACGTATAATAACGCGATTATGATACATTAGGTATCGTATCAATAAAACACGTTTCTTATATTGATTGACCAACATAAATTATTATAATTGTTTGTAGGCGAGCTATTAAAGTACGTTAGGTATTTTTTTTTTCCTAATCGAAACCGATGATTGAATGGACGACAGACCACTATTATTGCACACCACGTGGTTAACAATTTATCGCATATTAGAATAATTTAAACGCTAGTCATTATTATAATATTCAATAAATGTTTAATTTTCGCATATTTTTAAGTTGAAAGAGTATACGTGTTTTCTATAAATACTATTCGAATTATTAAAAATACCTGAAATTCACCTCATAAGCAGACTTGATATACGTGTTGATTTTTGTTCTTTATTTTTTATAAAAGAGCTGTAGTTTTTTCGTTTGGCAATATTTTAGACGTAAAGAATAACCTTAAATTTTGTTAATAGTGTTTAAACTCTAAAATGGTACGATTTTAATTCCAAGTAACATCATTTTATTAATATTCGTTTACTATTTGTTTACATTAAATTAAAAATAATTTAAATTTACAAAATCGACTACATCCAATTACAAGTTTATTTTAACTACAGAGTAAAATATGCGTTTTATTATAGAGTAAAATACTGTTTTTGTAAAGTATACTCTACAAATCACGACTTAATATTGATCTTTGTATATTTAAAATCTTAGGAAACGATAATGAATTTATTGTAAGAGCTTATAATTTCGTACAAAAAATTACCTGTCTTATATTTTTAATAATTATTATTATACTGTCTATGAAACACGACCAAAATCCGAAAATGTCGAAGTTGTAAAAAATTACTTTAGGTTCCCATTATTATAGTGTTTCGCGTAGAAAAACGTGTTTTTACTTACCGAAAAATGGATGGAATGGTTCGTCTAGTATTGACTTAAGTCCCAAGTCGATGTCGTCATATACGGAATTACCGTTACCGGTTTGTAATTCGCACGTCATAATAATAACTTCTACGAATAAGTTTTGGTCGGTTTAAAATGTGTCCAACAATCACACGAGTACAAAAGAACGAAAAAATTGAATTGCCAAACACAAAACAAAAAACACCAACACTCCGTCAAAAACTGTGAGGTATAATTTTAGCCGGACGCACGAAACGTTTATACAAATTTACTATAAATTTCGGTCGAAAGTGTGTATCGTTTATTTTTTTTTTTTTATATATATATATCGAACAAAGGTATAGGTAGGCAATACAAAATCTAAATATTTAAATTTAATAATCTTCTACGACGATGATGATACAGTCGTATAAAAAAAAATTTTTTGCGGACGGTTTACGAGTATATTATAAGTTTAACAATACGAGTAAAAGATAGCGTCGGTGACAGCGATGATTCAGTCGATAATACGATTATTATTGACTTAAAATTATTTTTAACGACGAAAATACAAAAAACAAAACAACAAATTGACGGTATCAATCGTAAACGCACACATACCCGGCACGTTTCACAACCTACTGATCGTCCCGATGGAACTAACCGGCCCGCCGTTGCCGTCGCCGCCCGCCGCCGCGATGGTCGTGCAGAAGCGTTGGGTCTATCAGCCGCGCGTGACGTCATTCTAATTGGACCGGTTTGTTTTCGACGGTTTTTTCTCTCTCTCGATATTTTCCCGCGTTTTCTTCACGTTTTTCATACATATATTATACTAATCATATTCACCCCTTCCCGCACCAAAATCCACAAACACCATAATAATACCTATGCATGTACTGCGGCCACGGGATCGTTGTAAAATTCAATCTTTGAAACGATGGAACAAATTAGAATGAAAAAAACCCCAATAATTTTTACGCAAACATGTGCCGTTTCCGTCTTACACAAACAACAAACGCACGCCACAGTAAATTTTCAGACAGCAGGACCAATTTCGTATTCCGGGGCGTGATATCCGCATAACGTATTGTCTCCGTTTTATAAACTTATGACATAGCAAATTTGATTTCAACGGAGTTAATGTCTTGCTAAAGTTAGAGTAAATCGAGCTATTATCAAACTTAAAGATAAGAACATTATCAGTGCCACAGATATGTACTTACAATAAACTAGGTTGCTAAATGCTAAATGCCATATTATCATAATAATGCTGTTTTAAGCTTTTGATTGAAATCCCATGGAACCATTTAATTCAAGGCCCGTGGCTTTATTATACACTTTTATACTATGATAACAACTGAATTTGTAATTTTTCTATTGTTACCGTGGCGACAAAGATTACGAACAATTATTGGAACAGCCGGAATAATTACGCAAAAATGTCTATAATTTTGAATTTTGTTCTTTTGTTGTAATTCAGTTAAAAACAATCGTTGAAACTTGAAGCGCCATAAGTTTTATTATATTAATACATTCTTCATATTTAAATACTTGTTCTGTTTGAGATTTGGAGCGTAGCGAGGATCAATTTGGTTTTTTTTTTATGCCAGTAAAAACTTTTTAAACCAGATTTCTTGATCCAATATATCAAATATAGCACCTTTCCTGAAAGGAAATAATATTTTTTGGGTGTATTAAAAAGGTTATTTTTTGATTTTCTAAATATTGCGAATATTGTGTGCCATGACGGTATAGATTTCATTGTTTTTAATTTTTGGAAACTATGTTTTCTACCAGAAATAGTTATTTTATAATTTTCTCTGTAGTTTTTTGATAATTGATAAAAGTTGAAAAAAAACGTAGACAATTTACAAAAATAATAATCTTTAATTACTTTCAATTTTGCTGTAATTCTGTTCAAATATTCGTAAAGACTTGACATTTTAACGAGCCATTTTTGAGCCATTTGTAGACATTTTAATTTTACGAGATTTGTACGTAATTTTTATATGATAGGTAATTTATGGATAAAATTGTTAGACTTAAGAGAAATACTTTAGTGGCCAAATGAAAAAAAAATTGAGGAATGTAGTATATCATACGTGTTTTAGTATCACATTTTGACGAAAACCAACGAACTTTATTCCGAATTATTTTTCGTTAGCAATGGTTTATCGTTGGTTAAAAATAGCTATATATTTTATTAATTTCATCATATTATATTTTATACTTTCCCAATTTTCCACCAACAGCGTGGCATACCCCTTTCCAGTTCTTGTTTTTGTGAAATTGTCCATTGCATAAGGTATAAAATATTAATTACTACCCCACTCCCCCCGGAAAAATGTCTTCGGGCTCAAATGGCTTTTACCAAATACTTATAGGTACACCTATTTTCTATACGTGGAGCAATTTCCAAAATATATTCTGGCAATTTTAGAGTTATAAGTAGGTAGCTTTTTAATATGTTCGAAGATTATTTTTTGTTCTATATATGGTTAAAAATGTTATAATTTATTTTTTTCGGTGTTTAAAACTTTTAAATTTATGGTAAAACCCAATTACCTTAAACTCTCCCAGAAACAATTAATACAAACGTAATGATAATCAATTATTGTGTAGATAGATAATAAATAATAATATTTCCGCGTTCCGTAGTAGCGATAAAACGAGAATTTAATAATTCAAAATCAAAGGACAATCATTCGAATCAATTGTATCACAAATCATTAACGTATTTTTTCTACTCAGTATTTTTCTTAAAAAAATAATATACATATGTATTTCTAATATTATTTACCTAGTAATACTCGTGACGCCTGTTTACAGTTTAAAGAATTTCTGTTTATATCGGCTTTGAATGTACTCAAATTAGGTATATATTGTTATTAATATAAACAATTAATAGGTTTTTAATTAAAAAAAAAAAAAACAACAACAATAATTATCGAATTTGATTGTATTAATTTCACTTTTTTCTTGTATACGTATCTCTGTTATTATAAAATACTAGTAAACGTCATACATACTCGTAGGTACTATAATAATCGACCCGACGTCGATTTGATTCTTTATTTTAGATTTTTCTACGAATATTATTATGTTGAACATTGGTCATTGTAACAAATTAAGACGTGTGAGTAAAACATAATTCAATATATATAATATAAGAGTATATATATATATGCATACATGTAACAATAATTTTTAATAGGAGGATAATGAAGCGGTGATATGAATACGTATACGTTAGTATAATTTATTCGTAAGTGTCGATAAAAACAAATTGTATGATTACGATTTACATTTACAACTAGACGCGCTTCAGCTAGTATATCAACGTTCCAATAAATTGTTTAATAAACGTCTATAAAAATATTATTATTTCATCTATCTGTATTAAACATTTTTATATTACTATATAATTTCAGCCAAAGTAAAATTAACATCCATTTTATACATATTATATACTTCCGGATTTATGTTTTTATTGTTGTTATTATTATTTTTTTTTGAAAAGCGGAGGAGTAATTTTATTTTACATTAATCTTTGGAAAATTCTCGTCCAATATGTAATGGTATCATATTTTTAGGAACATCGATGCGTAATTTCATCTCGTCCTTCCAAACTCAGCCAAGCTCCCCTCCAAATCTTTATTTTATAATATAGTTTCCCTTCTAAAATTTCTCAGTTTAAACAGTCACAAACCCATTGGTAGTATTGGCTTTTTCTAAGTCAATTTTACATTAAATAGTAACGTTGACATAGATGACTTTTTAAATACTACAATGGTATGCAATCCTATTTAAAATAATAATGTTCAATAACAATTTTACTACAATAATAGTATGGCAAATGTTTTATTCCAGAACACAATAGCTAGAGATGAATAAAAAAATACACAATTTCATATTCGAGTGACCATTTCATGAAAAGTGATCATACCGTGAAATAGTTTTGTATTTTACGATTTGTGAAATAGGCGTTTTTTAATTCTATCATGAATGAACCATTTTTATCAAATTACGAAATCAACGTTACGTTAAATGTTCACATTTTCTGTGAAGTCTCCCGGAATTATTATCACTACCATAGATGATATTATAATATACTTTGACATAAACTACATAAATAAATATTCTACTATTACATTGTGTTCATGTTATTAAAATATTTCAAATGAAAACACCAATAAGCAGTAGAGCACTGTTACTAGAGTCACATTTTTCTTCAGCTTTTAGATTCTAAGTGGATCGAGGATAGGATAGGTAATGATTATTTTTTTATTTTTTTTTATTGTGCACAAAATATTTACCAGAAATTTTGCTCCAATATACTAAGTGTAGCACCTTTTCTGAAAAAAATGTGTGTATAGTAGGTACTTTAGGCAGATCAATTTTTTGATTTTCATAAAAATTGAGAAAAACCTGGAAAAAGCGCAGGAAAAACAGGAACATTTACGAAATGCATAATTTTTATTTGTTTTTTGTAATGATTCAGTGAGAAATATTTGTAGAAACTTGAAATTCGGATGGATAAACTATATTTTATTTTTCTAGAATTGAGCTATTTTTGAGCTATTTACAGACATTTTGATTTTGCAAGTTTTTTATGTTATTTAACCGTAATACGGTACTCTGTGGATAAAATTGTTAGACAAAAATGCTTCAAAATTTAATAGTGTTTCCTAACAGGGGGGCCTGTACATATGCTGGGGAGGCGCAGGCAGTCATCACGAAGTAAAATTAGTATTTATTAAACTATTTGTACTTTACAATGTTGGGAAAAATAAAACTTGAATTATGACCGGGTATTGGGTATCGATAAAGATTACGAACAAGGCTGTATTTAGGGAGAGGTGACAGAGGGCAGATGACATTTTTAATAAGATTTGTTTGCTTATCGAAATCTTGATTACCTTTATTTTCAGGGGGGGATGAAAGATTTTCAAAAAGCTACAAAGGTTAGATTAGGTCAGGTATTTTAATTTGCACAACCATCAGCTAGTATACACAATTTATCAACTAGCTTCAACATTTTAGATTGATACCTACTAAACAAAAAAATTATTTATTATACATGTTAACTAAATTTATCAAATTAACAGTAACATATAC